CCATATCAGTATAATTATCCAGCATGATATTTTTCCCCATTGAGATCTGATGTGTTTTCAAAGTGTTCCTTTCGTTTTTTTGAGCAGTGTGTGTATGTGTGTGTATATGTATGTATGTATATACTGTATATAATATATATATTTTTTTTGTGTGAAAGTGGAGCTTTCCTATAGCAGCCACTGCTAGAAGGTTGTCTGCTTGCCATCTTCTTTTAATAACCTAGCCCAGCCTTTTCCACCCAGGGTTATGTGGAACCTTAGATTTCTTCCTGAGGTTGCTAGGGGTTCCTTGAACAATGAGTAGCGGCTAATACAGCCAAAGCTTGTTTGGCTGTATTTCTCCTGTAGATGACAGGAGTGCAGTTCATTCTGCACTCCTGTGACCTGTTTTCAGCCGATAGTGGGCTAAAGTTCGTTGTCGGCTAATGACACTCAGTCGATCTAGGCTGGGGAAAGATCCCGACTCTAAAGTTGGTCCACCCAGATGTCTTGACCAGCACCTAGCTCATCCTCTCGTGATCCGCAGGGAGACTGAGCCAGCTGCTCCCTTCCCCTCCACATCCCTATGCTCCAGTGAGCGCTGGGGGGGGGGGGGGGGGGGGAACAGAAAGCGGTGACTGAGAGTCACCACTCTCTGCTCAGAGCCGCAGGGAGAACTGAGCGATCAGCAGTGTCTGATCACTCAGTTCTCACCTTTAGCGCCGGAGGGGGACAGATGCAGCATCAGATCTATGATGCATCCAGCTAGGTTAGAATGATTTAAGAAAAATAGACAATCCATACTTCTATTTATAAAAGCCCCACAGCAATGATAACTGATCATTTAATCTAGAAGAGAGTTTTTGAATCTGATTCTCTTCTCTCTAGGCAGATGGCACTCCTCCACACTCCGGCTGTGGACTGTCCCTCAGTATCATTAGGTCCAAATGTAGGGCTGTGGACTCTGCCTTGGTCTTGATGTTGTCAAGATCCTAGGCTGCTGGAGCATGGGGGAGAAGACTCTTCGGGGACCAACCTAGCAGCGCATAGGATCTAGTAACTGGATTTTCTTGTCCATGTCCCCTTGACCTAAATGAGCAATTAACTCTTGCAGTACAGGTGCAACCCTACTGTAAGGCTTAATTTTTTACGTTTCTCAGAGTTGGGCTTTAAAACTTTCCACTGTATCACTAGTTTTACTTATAATCATTTTTAGCAGGGGATCTCCAAGACCTGAAAATTATTTTAAAGGTTCCTACAGGGCAAAAAGGTTAAAAGATTGATCTAGCTGGTGACAAAAAGACCATATTCCTGGGACCAAGCTTCTTCACCATAGTTAAAGATTGGAATATACAGTTTTAGTCTTTCATATTCCTATGCAGTTTGAAAAATTGACCCATCTGTGCATGCTTCAGTAATCAGACTGGTGAATCAAAGCCTGAGCCCCTCCCCAGCCATTGTACACTTGGACCCCCCTCTGTCTGTCCCTCTCTCCTTTCATTTCTGCACGCCCCCACACGCTTCCTCTTGCTTGATGTCCCGTCAGCCATAACCTATCACTAAATTCACTTGCCATCCCACGCAGACTTCCTTCAGTCCCGAAGAAGCACTCTGCTAGTGAGACATTCACAATCGGAGCTGACAGAGCCAGCCGTCGAAAAGCTATCCAGGTGTCGCTTTTGACTGTCATGGCAACTAGCTCTGCGGGGATGTAATTAGCAACCAGTTAGATACTGAGAGAAATTGAAAATAAAAAAGGAAAAAGTCTACCTCTGCAAAGGGTTAAAAATATTGAAATCAAGCAGATTGTGGCTCAGGTCTTAAACTTTATTTTGTGGGCTCCCTTATTCCTGCTCGGGGCCTAAATATGGGAGCTGAAAATGTCCCACGCGCCTGTTAATTCCATATGTCGACACCCCCGTGTTAGAGGGTATGCCGCCCCCTCATCAGTCTCCGAGCTGGCCTGCGTTTGTGGAGAATCAGGCATACTGCGTATTAGTGTGGTGTTTCTTCGTTGCTTGGCAATGCTTATTTCTAAATAGTGAACGAACTTCCTTACATGGGAATTGGATTGCTGTCTGTGCTATTTTTATTTATTTTTATTCTGGGTGTTAGAGAAAACCCATTGCTTAGTCTAAAAAAAAAAAAAAATTGAAATCCTGACCACTAGCTGAGGTTGGTGACAACATGCCTTTTGTCTAAATTATCCTGCCTGGTCTGGCCCTTTGCACAGCTCCAGCTGGTAACTATTGATTGCTATTAGCTTATCCACAGTATGTACTTGGCACATGCTCAGATTTGCAGGGAACCCGCCCCCAAGGGTCACTAGGGTCTTTAGAATGAAAGCACAAAGCTGCTTTATTGGGTCTTGAAATGAAAGCCTGACTTTGACATTCACCTTTTTCTTGTATGTGTTTTGGATATTCAGTATATAGTTATCCTCCACAATATCATTTGATTGAAATTTGTACACACCATGGTACTGGAATTCAGTGATTTCCTGCATAGTAGCACCGGGAGAGGGAGGGGTTTCACTAGGAAACCTTAGTCATTTCTTTCAGCTGTAGGGTGATCTGTTTGACTACATGGCCAGCCCTATGCAGCTGAAGGTGACAGCAGTGCAGTAAATTCAATGCAGTGTTGTCATCCGACTGGAGGAAGTCTTGGGGGCTAGCAGGATCACCAAGTTTTTTTTTTGTTTGTTTTTTTTTTTTTTATTAGAAAATAAATAATTGAAATCATTAAAATAAAGGTTTACTTATTTTTATGCCCTTTTTTAATTTGTGTATGTACACAAACAAACACACACACACACTCTCTCTCTCTATAAAAAAGTCTACACGCCCCTGTTAAAATGTCTGGTTTTTGTGATGTAAAAAAGTGAGATAATAAATCATTTCAGAACTTTTTCCACCTTTTTAATGTGACTTATAAACTGTACAACTCAATTGAAAAACAAACTAAAATCTTTTAGGGGAGGGGAGTCAACATAAAAAACTAAAATAATGTGGTTTCATCAGTGTGCACACCCTCTTATAACTGGATGTAGCTGTGTTCAGAATGAAGCAATCACATTCAAAATCATGTTAAATAGGAGTCAGTACACACCTGCCATCATTTAAAGTGGCTCTGATTAACCCCAAATAAAGTTCAGCTGTTCAAGTAGGTCTTTCCTGACATTTTCATAGTCGCATCCTACAGCAAAAGCCATAGTCCACAGAGATCTCATTGTTAAAAGGTATCAGTCAATTTCCAAGGCAGTAGGTATACCATGGAACACAGTGAAGGCAGTCATCATCAAGTGGAGAAAATATGGTGCAACAATGACATTACCGAAAACTGGACGTCCCTCCAAAATTGATGAAAAGACAAGAAGAAAACTGATCTGGGAGGCTGCCAAGAGGCCTACAACAATATTAAAGGAGCGGCAGGAATATCTGGCAAGTACTGGCTGTGTGGTACATATAGAAACAATCTCCCATGTTCTTCATATGTCTGGACTATGGGGTAGAGTGGCAAGACGGAAGCCTTTTCTTACGAAGTAAAACATCCAAGCCCAGCTAAAGTTTGCAAAAGCACATCTGAAGTCTTCCAAAAGCATGTGGGAAAATGTGTCATGGTCTGATGAAAACCAAGGTTGATCTTTTTGGCCAGAATTCCAAAAGATATGTTTGGCGCAAAAACACCACTGCACATCACCAAAAGAACACCATACCCACAGTGAAGCATGGTGGTGGCAGCATCATGCTTTTGGGCTGTTTTTCTTCAGCTGGAACAGAGGCTTTGGTCAAGGTACAGGGAACTATGAACAGTTCCAAATAGCAGTCAATATTGGCACAAAACCCTTAGGCATCTGCTAGAAAGCTGAACATGAGGAGCAACTTCATCTTTCAGCATGACAATGACCCAAAGCATACATCCAAATCAACAACGAAATGGCTTCAGGTTTTGGAATGGCCCAGCCAGAGCCCAGATCTGAATCCGATTGAAAATCTGTGGGGTGATCTGACAGATTTGGAGTGTTTTTGCAAGGAAAAGTGGGCAAATATTGCAGAGTCAAGATGTGGCATGCTGATACTCATACCCAAAAAGACTGAGTACTGTAATATTAATCAAAAGGTGCTTCAACAAAGTATTCGTTTAAGGGTGTGCACACTTATGCAACCGTATTATTTTAGTGTTTTTTTTTTTTTGTGTTTTTTTTTTTTTTTTTTTTTTTTTTTTTTTTTTTTTACTTCCCTCCACCTAAAGGATTTAAGTTTTTTTTTTTTTTTACATCACAGAAACCTGACAGCTTCAACTCTTCTGGAAAGGCTGACCACAGGGTTTAGGAGTGTGTCTATGGGAATGTTGGATGAGAAGTCTTGGCTCGCAGTCTCCGCTCTAATTCATCCCAAAGGTGTTCTGTCGGGTTAAGATCAGGACTCTGTGCAGGCCAGTCAAGTTCCTCCACCCCAAACTCACTCATCCCTGTCTTTATGGACCTTGCTTTGTGCACAGTCATTTTGGAACAGAAAGGGACCATCCCCAAACAGTTCCCACAAAGTTGGGAGCATGAAATTGTCCAAAATGTCTTAGTATGCTGACGCCTTAAGAGTTCCCTTCACTGGAACTAAGGACCAAGCCCAACCCCTGAAAAACAACCCCAAACCATAATCCCCCCTCCACCAAACTTTACATTTGACACAATGCAGTCAGGCAAGTACCGTTCTACTGGCAAGCACCAAACCCGGACACGTCCATCGAATTGCCAGACAGAGAAACGTGATTGGTCACTCCAGAGAACACTTCTCCACTCCTCTAGAGTGCAGTGGCGGCATGCTTTACATCGCTGCATCCGATGCTTTGCATTGTACTTGGCGATGTAAGGCTTGGATGCAGTTGGTTGGCCCTTGAAACCCATTTCATGAAGTCCTCTATGCACTGTTGTACTAATCTGAAGGCCACACCACGTTTGGAGGTCTTTAGCTATTGACTCTGAAGACAGTTGGCGACTTCTGTGTGCTCCAGCATGCGCTGACCCGGCTCTGTCATTTTACATGGCCTACCACTTTGTGGCTGAGTTGCTGTTGTTTCCAGTTGCCTCCACTTTGTTATAATACCACTAACAGTTGACTGTGGAATATTTAATAGCAAGGAAATTTCATGGATGGACCTATTACACATGTGGCAACCTATCACGGTACCACGCTTGAATTCACTGAGCTCCTGAGAGCGACCCATTATTTCACAAATGTTTGTAGAAGCAGTCTGAAT